AAAAAAAGGAGGTGAAGCAAGCAAGAGAAAGCAAAGGATAAAGGATGGGGCTGGCATGGGGGAGACAGTGGCATGGAAATGAAGAGGGAGAAGGAGGGAGCTTGTGCAAGGACAGAGGCACTCTCTGGAGCCTGGGGCTCCTGCAAACTGTCCAGCCAGTTTCAGCCAGAGTAGGGCTGATTTTCTTTTACTACGTGACAGTGTGCCTGGAGCCTAGGGGCAGGATCACCTCCCTGGGGTGGGAGAAGTGTCTATTTCCAGTTTATGTGTTTTATCCCGAGAGTAGGATAAACGGCTGGGAAGCTGACCTGATATTTATGTCCACTTTAAGGCTGGTGGTTGATATGAGTGCATTCCAGGTGAACTGCGCCCTCAAAGCCATTTACTTTATGGAAGGTTTCTGTTGGGGAGGACTGGGAAAAGTCATCAGATTCCACGCTTGTCGCTCCCTCTAATTCTAATCTTTTGAATAATTTCTGAACACTTTGGAAGTGCAAGAAGGGGGACCCCTTCAAGTTGCGGGAATATTCCAAAGACAGGTAAGATGTTTCCTACCCCAGGTGAACTCTTTACTATTAGTTTGTGAAATCTACTTTTGTCATTTTTAAAGTTTACTATTGTCCATTCTACCCACAAGAAAAAGTTGGAAGATCTGGCTGTCAAACATGTATTTGTGCTGGATCATGGAAGACAGATTCTAATATCGCCTTGCCTGTTAATTTGTATCATCAGTCTTTGCTTAGAATTCCCTCCCCTCTTTCTTCTCCCTCAAGCCACAAGACGGTAGGTAGAATCATAGCCCTTGCCTATAGAACTCCCTGCTTGTCAAACTCTGAGGGTTCAAGTCTGTGGGCAGACAGAGGCTGGAAGGCAAGGTGTGAATACTGAGATAAAACAGAATGTGGGCAAGAGTTTTGTCTGGTTGCTATTGGATTTTAAGAACTCAAAAGTCAAGAACTGGCCTCAAAAGCAAAATTTGAGAGACTTGAAGTTATATTCTGAGATCAGGGCAAAGGATCTCAATTCTGTGACTTGCTTTCAGGAAGCATGCAATATGTATTTGCTGCTGATGGAGGCAGATGATTTTTTGCCAAACGGTTTTGTTAGAATTCTGAGTCCTGAGTCCTGGTCAAACCTTAGCTTTTTTATCTTATCATTATTATTATTTTTTTTTGTAAAAAAAAATTTTTTTTAAATGTTTTATTTATTTCTAGGAGAGAGAGAGAGAGACAGCGTGAGCAGGGGAGGGTCAGAGAGAGAGGGAGACACAGACTCCGAAACAGGCTCCAGGCTCCGAGCTGGCAGTCAGCACAGAGCCCGACGTGGGGCTCGAACCCACGAACCGCGAGATCATGACCCAAGCGAAAGTCGGACGCCCAACCGACTAAGCCACCCAGGCGCCCCATCATTATTATTTTTTTAAAGCAATTGGTACAGACAGTTTAACTTCGAGAGAATTTAAAGAGGAGGAGAGGCTAAATCTTACAAGCTATCGGGTAAATCTGGGAATTCCCTGAAAGAATTCTAAAGAAATGTAAGTGTCTTGGAGGAGGACAAGGAAGTGATTGTATTATTAATAATCACATAATGAGATAATCATCCCTTTGAAAAATATTTCTACCTTTGTTGAACAGTCTTTCTTTTCTCATTTTGTCCCTATGCTGTCAAGGTATTGCCATTAAATCTCATTTCTCCAGTGAGCAAACTTAGGCACAGAATAGTCTCGTGGTTCACTGGGGGCCACAGAACTGGTTAAGAGGGTATGCAGGGCTTAGGACCCAGGCATGGTGACCCATTCTGCAGACTTTCCATGGGGCTTTTAATCTTGTCTTTTCTGGACGTGCTGTCTCCTGGGTTTGGACTTATACTAGGTCTAGGTAGGAGGGTATTGGAGATAAGTGTGGGTATAGGGGGTGGCTCTTAAATGTACTAACATGTTCAGCTCAGGCTGGAGCTGGTCCTAACCCTGCCATGGTGAGGTGATGGGAAATGAGGACAGACTTTTCTGGAGGGGAGGAATGTGACTATTGGGTTCATGATACTGATGGATGGTTCTCAGCAATTCCATTCAGGCCAAGAAAACAGATGGATCCACATATGACCTGTATTCTCTGGGACACTTCTGAGCCTGGCCAGCTCCAACACCTTACCCCTCAAAGAACAGCTCACTTCATCACCCTCTGAGTTCAAATGACTTCTTCTAAAGATACTGTGTTAGTCTGGATAGCAAAATGTCTTCAGGTCGTGAGCCTAGTGGCACAGCACTGGATTCAGAATCAAGACACTTGGGTTCTAGTCCCTGCTCTTCCAGATTATCTGGGAGGAGTCATTAATCTCCTTTCCTCAGGTGGACTGGTTTGTCAGATTTTATACATGTCACTATTCCAGAAACAGAGACTGACCTTGAGAAGATGAGATATGGGAAAGTCAGCTAAGACAAGCCTGGAGTCTGCAGGGTGGTGGGTGGAAGGATGGCAGCCACAGGGAGACTTTTCAGGCAGGCATTTTGGAGGCCAAGCCAAGACACTGAAGGCAAACTCTCTGGACTTCACATATGACCTTCCTGGAATGTGTGCTGGGGGAGGGGATGCTGAGAACGACTTCAGGTCGTGAGCCTAGTGGCACAGCCCTAGATTCAGAATCAAGACACTTGTGTTCTAGTCCCTGCTCCTTCAGTTCATTTTCTTCTCTGGGTCTTAGTTTTCTCATTTGCAAAATGAGTAGATGAATTCCAAGAACACTTCTGATTCCAAGATTCTTTGTGAGTCTCCCTGGAAGGGAGAGCCTGGGAGGGTAACCTGCGAGTATGCTGGTTGTTGATGGCTAGGTAAGATGTCATGTGGAACAGCCATAGGAGGAATTTGTGAATGGCTGAGGAGTCAGTGCCATGAACAATCTGTGGTGAGAGGAGTAGGCTCAGGCCAGTCAGGGAAGGAAGGCCACTCTTAAACATACCCCCGGGAAGTTATATAAGGAGGTTTTGCCTAAGTGACAGGCAAGTAGGTGCTGGTAGCAAATAAACCAGCTCAGGGTCTCAGCTTGGTCAGGAAAGGAATGCTTTTCTTTCTTTCTTTCTTTTTTTTCTTTAAGGAAATAAATCCAATCAGGTCTTTTATCTTGTTTGGAAATCATAAATTTAACATGTATTGGGGTTAGTAGACCAGTTCAGGGGCTGTTTGGGGGCATGGGTTCATTAGGCTGAGAATATTTATGGGGCAGGGTTTAAAGGATCCCATTCAACAATCCTTGGCCCAGGGCTGTTTTGGCTGCAGCTTTGGGCAATCTTTTGGAATTCTGTTTTGTTGAAGTATAGTTTAGGACACAAAGAATTAAATGGCTTTTGAAAACATTTCCCTACCACTCCAACTAGTTAAATTCCCAACACTTTGGAGTCATGGCTATAATTCAGTTTATGAACACAAATAGAGTACCAGCTATTTCTTACTACGTGCAGGACACATTTCTAGATATTTTGAAGGAAACAACAGTTAATGATACTAAGGGCATGGCAGGAGACGCAAACAGGAGTGGGCACTTGGGTGGCTCAGCTGGTTAAGTGTCTGATTCTTGGTTTCAGAATCTCATGATTCTGATCTCATGGTTCATGGGTTTGAGCTCCACATTGGGCTTCATGGTGACAGTGCAGAGCCTGCCTGGGATTCTCTCTCTCCCTCTCTCTCTCTGCCCCTCCCCTGCTCTCTCTCTCTCTTTCTCTCAAAAATAAACAAACTTTAAAAAAAATTAAAAAAACCCCAGCAACCAAGCAACTACTTTTTCAATCAGTGAAGCACCAACTTACAAATGTCTTATTTATAAAGGGAACAAAAAAGGTTTTGATCACACACAGAGAAAAGTCTGTGCAGCTGGTAACATATGCCCCTTGGGAACACAGGGCTTTTAAAATCATTACTCTTATGGCTTCTCCCATTATTATTTCAGATTTATTAAGGCTCTTCTGTTGTAGATGTACCCATAGAAAAGGCAATTCAGGTTGGATATAGGTTTAGGAGGCATGTGGAAATTGCCATTAAAGAATAATAATTTTATATACTTACCCTCCGAGTTCTCTTTTCTGGACTTACAGATAGTTGCTATTCAGGCAGGTGAGAACAACACAGTGCAGGTTACTCCTAGTCTCTCCAATATTTCAGGGATTGGAAGTTCACTTTTTTAGGTAGATACATTTGAACCCAAAATGCTGTGGCACTGCAAACTTAAACCGTCTATTCTGGTTTACCTCTGCACCTCAATGTCCCCCAAGGCACACCTCATTCTACTGCTCTGTTCTCTATCCCTGCAAATCTTTTCCATGCTCTGAGACCCAGCTTCAGATCCTCCAAGACTTCTCACCAAGCCTCTACAACCCATATCACTCTCTCTTCTCTGAGTTTATGTAGCTTATAAAGTAGCACTTACTAATAAAACATTTTCTATTGTGCTTTCGTTTCATGATTCAGGTATACAGAATGCCCCATGTAAAGGCAGTATGCTAATGAGAGATACTCAATTAATATTTGTCAGATGAATGAACAAATAAGAGTATGGATTTTGGAGTCAGAAAGATCTGACTTCTTACTAGCTAGACTACCGTTAGCAAGTCACTTAACCAGTTCAAACCTCAGTTTCTTTCTCTGGAAAATGACAATAATACAACATGGCTCAGGGAGGAATCATAAAATACACATAATAGGTGGTCAAGGACAGAAAGTGCCCTTTACCTTTATCAAGTGACCAGTGAGTCAGCATTCATTTCTTGATTGTCTAAACCAGTTTGTATTCCAGTCTTTTTTTTTTTTTTTAAACAGTATGTTGAGACATGTCTACCATATTTGATTACGACAAGGTTTAGCCTATCAACTGTGAAACAGTTTGCAGAAATCAAGACCAAGTACTATAGTAAAAGGACACATGGATGTTATGGTATAGGTGTGGGTTGATATGCCTTCTTATTAGAGAAGAAAAATTCCTGAAACTTTGTTTTTTTAATTAAGTAAGTTCTATGTCCAGCATGGGGCTTGAACCCATGACCCTGAGATCAAGAGTCTCATGCTTTACCAACTGAGCCACCCAGGAGCCCACGCAGGTATCCACTGGTTTGGTTTTTGAAAACAGCAGTGCCATGTTTGTAGAATCAGCTTGAGCAGTATATTTCATTCAGCTTCTCAAAAGTTGCCAGTAATGTAAAGAGATTCTGGATGAGGCTGTTGTAGTGACTCTGACTTATTGCATCCCATGCTCCTCCTTGCCCCTCTTTTTGTCTTTTCCAGCCCCATACAAACATGAGAAGGTGGGATAGAAAGGGAGTACAGGAAGGTTTGGGGCCCAGAGGTTGGTGAGGAGAAGTTGGAGGGTGGAGGTGGAGCTCCAGAAAGACATGGCAGCTCATGGTGCTGTGGTGTGGCCTCTTAGGTACCCCCTGAATCTCCCCAAGGGGAAGCCGTCACTACTACCTTTTCCTTTGCCACTGGTGGGTGACCATTGGGAGCATTTCTAATGGGATTTGGGAGGGATATCCAGGGTAGTCTCTTAGGGCCCATGAACTCAGTTGCTTGGGCATTCTAGTGACGGAGTTGTGTGGTGCAGTGGAAAGAACACCAGACTGGAGAAGAGGTTTTGCCCTGGACAGTTCTGCTATGTGGCCTTAAGTGTGTATCTTAACATTGCTTCATCTCGATTTCCTGATTTGCCATCTAGATGGTTGTACTAGATAATCTCCAAGCTCCCTCCTAAGCCTGTGACTTGAAGCCAAGTCATAAATTCAATCTCCTCATGGGATAGATAATGCTGCCTTGTGCAAGGGTCACAGCCAACAGCCCTGACTTTCCCTCATCTTGACTCCTCTAGAGAGGAGAAAGCTGGTGGTTCAGCTCAAATCCCTTGTTATTTTGGGTAAAACAGCTCCCAGTTGATGCCGTTAGCAAAATTGTGTAGAAGGACTGGGGTGACCGACCATGCTGGTTTGCCTGTGATGCAGGACTTTCCCTTCCTTTAAACAAAATTTTTTTAGTTTCCCTTATTTTTTAAATTAAAAAAAATTTATCATTTTTTTATATTAGTTGTGGGGGAGGAGGGAAGAGAAGGGCAGAGGGAGAGAGGGAGAGGGAGAGGAAGAGGGAGAGAGAGAGAGAGAGAGAGAGAGAGAGAGAGAGGGAGAATCTTAGGCAGGTTCCATGTTCAGCACCGAGCCTGATGCAGGGCTCAATCCCATGGCCCTGGAATCATGACCTGAGCTGAAACCAAGAGTTGGTCGCTCAACTGACCAAGCCACCCAAGTGCCCCTGAGTTTCCCACATTAAAAAAAATTTGTTTTGTTAATGTTTATTTATTATTGAGAGAGAGAGCACGAGCAAGTGAGTTGAAGCAGGGGAAAGGCAGAGAGAGAGGGAGACACAGAATCTGAAGCAGGCTTCAGGCTCTGAGTTGTCAGCACAGAGCTCGAACCCACGAACCATGAGATCATGACCTGAGCTGAAGTCAGACACTTAACCAACTGACACACCCAGGCACCCCAAGACTACACTTTTCTTTGTTGAATTACTTTTGCTCCTCTCTCAAAGACCAGTCAACTAGATTTGAGTCAACTGTGAGATCATGACCTGAGCCAAAATCAGACACTTAACTGACTGAACCACCCAGGCATCACTCACTCATTTTTAAAACTGGTAAAATCCTGGACAAACTGGGACAAGTTGGTCACCCTAAGAGGGAAAGTGCCCACCAATTTAACATTAAGGTGCTGTTCAACCAGGGCCAGTGGAGTATCACTGAGAAATGTAAAAAAATTCTAAAAATCTCCAATTTCTATCGGTAATTATTGTATTTCCTGAAAGTTTCTCCAGGTCTCTATTAAACAAATATTAAAATCTAAATGATGAAATGCTTTCTTCCCTTGGTCTGAGGGCTGTGTAACCAAGATACTTCCTATCCCAGCAACTTATCCTAGGGTCTTGCACCAAATGTCTCTGAAACTACCTTTTCACTCACCTGTTCAGGGAAGATGAACAGGTCCAGGTGCATCTGATGGCATCATGGCCAAGCCTTGCTCCAGTTCCCACATACCCTCCCACTTCTCACTGTGGGCCTAAGAATAAGTAACCTCTCTCCCAAAACTGATGCTCTGACTGGGTTGCTAAGCCAGAGATGTGTGGCCAAAAGAGAGCAGGAGCCATGAGAGTTTAGATGTTTCATGCCTAAGACCCAAGATATCCTGATTTGGGTGATTTATTCTGGGGGGGAGGGTTCCGAGAGTAGCTATACGAGTCTAAAGTAAAAGAGTCTGTTTGGGCACAGCCCGTACCCTGTTGCCAATAGCTATTCTTTGTAAGATGTAGCAACTTATTTCCAGGACTTGGATTCCTTTTCCCCTTTCTTCTAAACCTCTTTTGATTTAGGGAACAATGCAAGTGGTTCCCCGAAGTCCCTCTCCTTTCATCTAATCCTACTTTTACTCTTAGCTTTATTTACCTTCTCTATCTTCTCTGGGGGCATAGAACACTAAGCAGCCATTTTATAATTTCTAAAATCTATTCAAATCACACAATTTATATACAGATATATTTTTGTTGCAGAAATTCAGATTTTGCCAATCTGATGGACAAGAAAAGTATGTCCTTGGTTTCATTCACATTTCTCTTGGGTCCTGAATGACTGTGTGGAATAGGCCCTCCTTCATTGCCCCTCCCCGCCTCCCCCATCCATAACCTGCACCAGACTGTGATATAAGAGGTAGCCTTTTATTGTGTGAGGCCACTAAAATTGGGGTTGTTTGCTACAGCATTTGGCCAATCCTGATCAATACAGGGCATTGCAAATAATGGCAGAATACCAAAATCATTTTGATCTTTTAAAACTATACCATCTAGGCCCTGCCCTACCTGGTGTGTATATAAAGTTGACTTTCATTTCTTAAGACCCAGCCTATGGTTTGAAAACCCAAGTAACTACAGAGAACTGAAATAATGTTTTTTCATCTGCTTCTGTCTCCCTCCTGTAACCATCCTTACCTCCCCATCTTTGTGAATATTCTTTTCCCTTCTCCCAATTTGTAGAAGTAAAATTGAAATGTTCAAAGGTTAAAATAGGCCAATAGTTCTTTGTCTATGTCAACATGTAACAAATTGGGGTGGAGAATTTTAACAGTTAAAAAAAATTCTTTCTGAATTTTCCTTTGGCCTTAAATACCATCTAGATAATTAACGCCACTGTGGTATCTTTTCTCCTCTCTTTGGGTGACTAAATATTAGTACCTTAGCTCCTTCCTTCTCTTTGTGTATGTGTATAGAAATAATTTCAGTGCCCTAGCTTAAAATCTGGCAGAGAAAAATATTCTTATCCCCTTGGAGAAGGTCATCCTATTCTGGAAAAGCAGCCTCAAGAAAGGACCATATACATGTTTTGTAAAAGCATGATTATTAAGTTTCAGGTTTATTATCATGCAAATGCTTCTATTTCCCCTCTTACCCCACCCAGTCCCCTCCTATAACCGGGAATAAAATGACATCTGGGACATTGGGAATTTAACCAGCCAGTCAGGAAGGCAGAACAATGTTTCCTCAGCCAGTGGTTCATAGGGGTTCTCAGAGGGCTTTTGCAGGGAACTTAAGGAGTTGTTCCTTTAAACGAGGTGCCAGATTATCTCACATTTTAAAATTCCCTTTGCTTTCAAAGTTAAGTGTTTGTCTCCCTGGGAATATGAATTGGTACAACCTTTCAGGAAAGCAATTTGGCAACATGCATCAGGAGCCTTAAAAACGCTTATATACTTGACCTGGCAGTCCCACTCCTAGGGCTTTATTCTATGAGCATCATCAGAGATATGATCACAGACACTTATCACAGCAAAATTTATGAAAGCAAAATATCTGGAAACAGCCTAAATACCAAATAATAAGGGTAGAGGAGATCTCCTCAGTAATGGAATATTATGCTGCCTTTAAAAATAATGTTTAAAAAAGTAGATAACATGGGGAAATGCTCATGATAAAGTGTTAAGTAGGGAAAAAAAGATACAAAACAAATTCTCACTATTTAAACCAGTTGGTTTAAGCACACATACATAAAAGACAAGGAATAAATACAAACAAGAAGAGTTCTGTTCTAACCTCAGTTCTGATACGTCCTAACTGCTTAGCATTGAACAAGTGACTTAAACGCTGAATTTTTTTTCAGGGTTGTGAGGATCTGAAAGAATGTTTGCAGTTTCCTGCACATAATGGTTGCCCAATTAATGGTGGTAACTGTTATCATTCCTATTCTTACCACTATTATTAGTGGTAGGATTTGGTCCGTGACAAAGCTCATGAAAGAATGATTTTGTGGGAACAGCCTTCCTGTTACTGTCAACTAACTTCCCATTGTTGTCTACCCACTATCATCTCTGAGGTGGTCCTGCCCATAATCCAGACAAAACAAACCCCAAGCCCTAAAGTGAAATTGATACAGGGAGGAGAATTTCTGAAAAATATTTGGAGGGGACATTTAGAGGAAGCAGAATTTCCTTTGGCTGTTTAAAAAAAGCAAGTTAAGCATTTAGGAAAATGAGTTATTTATTGGGTTGAAAACAAATGATAATATACATCTGTATGGTGCTACACTATATTAAATCCTATTACCTCATAGGAGAACACATTTCAGTGAAGTAGCTTTTAACCCTATAAAAGTTATCTATTGCTATATAGCAGATTACCCCCAAACTTAACATTTATACCAACACATATTTCTTATCTCACAGTTTCTATGGGTCAGGAATCTAGGTATAGCTCAGCTGGGTTGAGGGTCGGTCATGAGGCTGCAGTCGAGGTATAGGCCAGTCTTGTAATCTTCTCGAGGTTCAACTGAGCAAGCTCACTCAGTGGTTGTTAGCAGGATTCAGTTCCTTCTGGGTGTTGGACTGAGGACCTCAGTTCCTCACCGGCTGTTGGCTGGAGGCCATCTTAGGTTCCTTGCTATGTGGGCTCCTACAAGGCAGCTCACAATATGGCAGCCAGCCTCATCCCAGCGAGTAAGCTGAGAAAGGGAGAGAAGAGTCACCATCTTTTGTAATCTGATTTTGGAATTGACATCCCATTACTTGT